GGCTCCAGCTGTCTGAGCCTCAGTGCAAAAGGTGCCCCTCCACCTGTCTCGGGGATCTTACCTCCGAGAGCAGAGGTGCAGGGGCTGAGGCCCTAGAGCTGGGGGCTGACCCGGGCCAGGCACTCCTTAAGGCTGCCCCTTCCCCAAGGCCCTCGACCTGCCTTCCCTGTTATTCACTTGGGAGAGATGCAGCTTCTCACCCTTAAATATGGGGAGGAGAGAGCGGCCAGGCCTTGGCCCTGGATGGCCTACTTCCCAATATTCACCTGTAGTTGCTTCTGCGCAGCGCAGACAATCAATCATTCTGACTAAAATGTCTCACTTGTAGGGAGAGCATCGTACACCTAGAGCACAGTCCCCCGGGCATGGTAGCTTGTTTCAGCTTTGGTTACAGCCTTTTGTAGACCGTACCTTTTGGGGGCGGGAGTGAGGGTTGGAGTGGGAAAATTAGCCCATGGGTGTGTTTCCCCCTCACTGCAAACAAGTCTCTAAAGAGTCAGTGAGATTGGGGGACTGTCTTAGATGGAACATAAGTGTGTGTGTGTGTGTGTGTGTGTGTGTGTGTGTGTGTGTGTGTGTAATAGATCCGCTCACATTCTAACAAATGAAGCTACAGAGAAAAAAAAATCTGTGTTCCTGGTAGAAGTCTATAAGGACAGAGATACTGAAGAAAACACCTGCTCTTCCCAAATTACCCAATACCATCTGAGTTCAGAGACAGGAAGCTTTTAAGCTGATTTTATCCCCAACATCTAAAAGCAGGAAGACTGGCATCAGGGGATGAATAGCTTTCCAGGCTGCAGGCTGGGTAGGGAGCTCTGTGCTAGAGAGTGCCAGGCCCAGGGCTCTAGGAGCTAGTCTCTACCAGGTTACCAATCAGAGTGGTTCCTATACATACACTATTCCTTCTATATTACTAGGTGCTTCTTTTACGTTATCACTTACTCTCATAACAACCTTATGAAATAGATTCCATTATTATACCTATGTTAAAGATCAGGAAATGGGGACACAGATCAGTGTGGGGACCAGAGAACATCTTCGGAAGTTCTATTTGGACACTAATTATTCTTAAATGTAAATGAACAATTCTCTTTCACTTTGTACTTTATCATGGACAGAACTGCACAGGTGACTTCTTAGGGCCCCTAAGCTGACTTCTTGGTCTATTACAGACTAATCCTAGCCTAAGAAAGACAATAACACCATCATGTAGCTAAACACTAACTCTTTGCAGCCCCAAGACTGGATTGCTTGAACAAGTGGTTTTTGAGAAATGCATAGTATAACTGTGGTTACCTGCCCATTTATCAAATGTGGAAAGCAAGCTTAATAAACACAGCAGCTTGTGGACTCTGTGTTAAATATTTTTCTTCTCTTATGTCATTGCCTTTGTTCATTTTCATCAGTGTTTTTCAGGCATCTATTCCTTTTCTCCCTATTCTTTGTACCAACTTTCTGATATTTTCTATTTTTAAAACCTAAACTCCTCTTCTTCTTCCTTCTCCTCCTCCTCCTCCTCCTTCTCCTCCTCCTCCTTCTTCTTTTTCTTCTTTTTTACTTTTTACATATCCAATGCAATGATTTCTATAAAAATCAAAAGTTTTATGGGGTTTAATGACTATTTACATATTTTAATAGATATCAAAATAATCGTACATTTTAAAAAATTGCTTCCATGTATCACCTGAGATTATTTCACATGCCGTCCTGCCTTAATGACACCCTGTAGGAAGGGTTAGGGGTGGGCACCTGGAGAGACCAAAGGAAGCGAAGGAGGATGCTCTAAGTCAGACTTTGCACTAAGTTCTTTACATATGCGACTCTCACTTCATCTTCATACTGTACCCCAGGCTATAGGTGTTGGTTATCTCCATTTAACAGAGGAGGACACTGAAACTCAGAAAAATCAAGGAAAGAGTCAAGGATCACACAGATCACACAGCTAGGAAGCGACAGTGCTGGCATCAGATATGTCCCTCCTATGTCAACGTTTGCTTCCAATAAAGACAGCAGGAGGATAGACTACTATGAGAACAAACACTTAAGGAAAGAAGAGGCTTAGAAAGGTGTTGCACAACAGAGTGTGATGTGAGAGATGGGAGAATGGAAAAGCCGAGTTACTTCCCTGTGACTGCTAATCTTCTTCTGGTCTTCCTTCCCCTATTTCTGTAATGACCTAATTCCATTCATTCATCCCACAGACAATCATTGAGTATCATTATCTTCCAGAAACATTATTAGGAAGTTTCTTTCATCCCTGTCTCCCTGACACCTACCACAGTCCTGGGCAAATACTAGGTGCTCAACAAATGTTTGTGAGTAAGTGACTTAGTCTAGTGGGGGAAAGAATAAACAGTTGCACTAACAGCATGTTGAGGGCCAGGGAAATCAGATTTGAGTACTCTGCCACTGAACCTGGCTTAGAAAAGGGATCAGAGAACACGTCAAGACTAGGTGATGCCTGAGGTAGGTTTTGAAGCAGATATAAAAGTTAGTTGGACAAAGGAAGTGGGGGAGGATTCTCAACAAAGACACCAGTCTGAATAGAGAAAAGAAAAAAATGGGAACCACTCTGGGAATATAGGAGTTCAGTTCTCAAAATGGAGAATGCAAGGGAGGGGGCTGAGAGGGACATGCGGTCTAGGAGGTCTTTTGCACATTCTCTCTGCAAGTGTCCCATTGCTCAGCCCCTCCCTTGAAGCTCTGAAGAGAACTGTGCTATAGGGAACAAAATGACTGAATATAGTACGTCCTCACTTAACGTGGTCCATAGGCTCTGCAACTTTTAAACAAAAAGGCATATAATAGAACCAATCTTAATGTTGGCTAACTGATATAAACAAGAGTTAAGTTCCTGCAAAATGACGTTGGACAAAAGCACATTATTTGAGTACCTGCAGTACAGGAATTAGCAATGCATTTTATTATTTTATCTTTTTATTGTGGCCCTATAATAAAGACTATAGTTATTTAGACTCCTAGATAGTGTTTTAAAACCCATACTCAAATGGACAGACTAGGTTTCATTGTCTCCTATGTGGAAAAACCTAATTATTTTTCTGTTTCTCCAGGGGATATTCTATTTTAGCATAGACACAATCCACGCAATTACGAAAAAAGACTTCCCTTCCAAGCAAATGCTCTTCTGGGCTTTTCCTTGGGGGGTAACTGGAGGGAGGGAGAAGGATTTCCCTCCTTATTTTAGTTTTTAATAGTTTTATTTTATTTTCAGTGTGTTATAGAGGAGTCAGGAACTAAAAAGGTATTAAAAATAAAGTGAGATGGGGAATGGAATAACAGATAGATATTTATGCCAGTTAAGATTCTGGCTTTTGATAATAGGCTTTGAAAACTTAATGCCCCAATGTCGCTTTTTCTTTAGGAATCTTTTATAACAATTTTTCATTCCAGGCTCAGAGGGCTGCATGCCTTGTCACCCTTCCCACACTTGTACCATACTGTTAGTTACATTGTTATTAGGAAGGGAATTCAAAGGTAAATGAAATCTGCAAATCACCCCAAGCCTAATTTCAGTTAATAGACCAAGTCCTCCACTCTGGCATTATATCCTTGCCTCATAGCCAAGTTCCTTAATCTTCCTGAGCTTCAATCTCTTCATCTATAAAATCAGGATCATAAGAGCATCTACCTCATGAGATTGGTATAAGGATGAAATGACTTAGCACGTGTAAAATGCTTAGACTGATGTCTGATGCAGAGTAAGCACTCAATATGTGATAGCTGTTATTTGTGTTATTACTAGTACTGCTGCCACCCGCAGCCTTATTTGAAATGTTAACATATGTCCATGATAAATGTTCTTTGGTAATGTGTTTTCCTCTAGCTGTCGTAACTAAAATGAAGGAAACAGAAGAGAGGAAATGAAAAAAGGGCTGCATAACACATATGTAGAACCATCCAGTCCACAATAGTGTCATTTCCTAAATAATAAGATTGAACTGTTCCCTTATTTCCTGTTGGCTACTTGCCACTATTGCTCCTGATAAACCTAATGTGTGTCCATCATTGAAATGAACAGCATCTCCAGTTTCCTGTTTTTTCTTGTTTTTGTCTTTTTTGGTCACTGCTGTCACCCTGGTCCCTCATATCGTGCCTGGAATAAACAGACACTCATGCCTGTTTGTAGAATGAAGGGAGGAAGGAAAACCTGTGTCATTTTTTTCTTCAACTAGACACGTCTTCATTGCAGTGTGTAAGGGCTTTGCAGGGTGAATTTGTGCATTGTTGACAGTCAATATAAATATTTTCAAATTAAATTATTTCCTCAGTATTCACTGCTGCACCAGATTCCGTGTGCAGTCTTGGGTGTCAGGGCGTGTGGCTGTGAATCCCAGTGTCACCCTAGAGCTGGGCTTCCTGGATTCAGACCTGGGCTCTATCTCTGGCCTTCCTGTGATCAAGTTTGGCTCTCCCACATTCTCTCCGAGTGACCTTCGGCAAGTCACTTAACCTGACTGCCTCGTTCCGTTCATCTGTAAAATGAGGGAAATAGTTCCTATTTCAGAAGGATTTTTTGAGGAAGAAATGAGTTAATATGTGTAAAGATTAACATTTGGCACTTTGGAAGCATTAGAAGTGTCTGTTAAACTGGTTTTTTAAAACCCCGGTTTTCTAATTAGGTATCATAATAGTACCTACCTTACAGAATTGATTCGATGATACTACATGATACGTAATAAACACTCAAAAATGCCACTTTTGCTATTGTTTTGATTGCAAATATTTATTTCTTTTATCTGCTATGAGGAGTCGGGGCTCTGACCTGGCTTTTCCATTTTTTGGGTCCATTGAAGTCTTATCGATTCTATCTTACCTTTCACACGTATACCCTGTGTTTGTCCTGTCATTGTGCCTTGCGTCATTGGCACCTTTTACATCGCATACTCCTCAGGACAAGGACTTTGCTCTTTGTTTTGGCATAATTTTATAACATTGGGTACACTCACGGTACTATAAAAATGTTAAAGAAAAGAAGATGTAACTGACCAAGAGGCCGCTTTGGCTGGCAGCTGGCGGAGCTGCTGTCTGTTTGCAGTGCTGGGTGCTGGTCCTCCCGCCCAGCAGCATCCCCGGCGGCTGTGGCTGGTGTCGCCTGGCTCTGGGTTGACGCGCGCGTGTCCTGCGGGCCACCACCGGGGCGTGCACGGGTGCCCTGAGCATGAGCTGCGTCCTGGCGCGCAGGGAGGACCGAGGGAGGCCAGCGCCTTGGGACACACAGCACTGCTCACAGGTTTGTCTGCGTTTGCTTGACTTTGCCAGAGAGGCCGGGCGAGTGAATGAGATGAGCTTGAAAGGAGCAGGAGCAAAGAACTGAAAAAGGAGGGAAGTGGGAGGCTCCATGCAGGAGACTGTAGTAGCCCTTTCTGTTTTAAGCAACGTTTCCGGGTGGCCACACAGCCTCTGGTCCTTCTGGCATGTTTCCATATCAGAGGAATGTGGTGTATGGATGCGAACGTTCTTGTAAACTCTATGACCAAACCGACCTTGAGTGCTAACGTTATCTAACGGGGCTCGTGTTTCAAGCCTGGCGCTGGGAATGCCTGAAAAGCAGCCACTGGTTCAGAGCATGACATAAACAGGGCGGTGATAGTCCTGAGAGCACATTTCATCACTATTTTATTCCTTTCTGTCTTTGAAGCAGCCCTTTGGTAACAGCACATTTAAAAACGTACCTGGCACTTGTTTGGCCTGTGCTGCTGTGCCGGAGTCACACCTGCCGTACAGCCGTCCGCACGGTTGGCTGGCATATGTGTTTGACCTTATCATTTTGAAGTAACTGGAGATTCACAGGAGGCTGCAAAGGTGACTCAGAGAGGCTCCAAATGCCTTTCGCTCAGTTTCTTCTAATGATTCCTCAGACATAATTTTCGTACAATAACACCAGGAAACTGACTTTGGCACTACTTGTATGTATAGTTTCTATGTCATTTTATCACATACAGTGTAACCACCACCACACTCAAGATATAGAAATTCTACAGCCAAAAGATCTCCCTCCTGCTACCCCTTTAGTCAAAACCACCTCCTTCTCCCTATCCTTGGCAACCAGATGTTTTCCATCTATTTATGTATGTATGTATGTATGTATGTATGTATGTATAGTATGTTACATAAATGGTATCATGCTGCATGTAACCTTTCTGAGACCCCCCTCTCTCCCATTAAGAATAATGTTTTTGAGATTCAGGTTGTATGAATAATTGGGTTCTTTTTGTTGCCAAGCAGTATTCCAGTTGCTTGACTATATTCAATGGTATTTTTTTCTCTCTGAATTGATATACTTACATCACTTATGGTGATGTAAAAAGTGTGGGGACAAAGTTTGGATAAGTTTTTCCTCTTCAAAATGACAACTAGTGTGTGCTGGGGCAAAAGGATGTACAAACTACACCTTCATTTAACACAGAGGCCAGTGGAGGATTGGAAAGAAGAAACAGAACAGGGCAGAGATAAGTATGTATTTGGACAATAAGGTATAAAATCTGGCACCTTTAAAAATTTCCACACCCATATGATAATCTATTCTGCCATCTTGCCTTTAGTTAAGACAACTTATATTTCTTAAAAATTAATAAAAATAACGCCTCTGTTATAGGAAATTCCCTGCCAGTCTATGTTCAGTCACAGAAATGATAAGTCAGGGACAGGGTCATGGCTGGAAATGACAGCAAGTGGCTGTCCAGTTTGACACAGGTCTCAGAGAGTCAAGACGGCATTTTCAGTCTCAGGGCAACCATCATGGGTCCAGAGACTGTCAGTGCTATACTTTTCTGTCCTTTCAACCCACTTGCCAGTGGGAGAAGCCTCTCCCAGAGGTGGCTTAAGTCGGATTTTAAAATGAGAATGTTATTCTTCACCTGAATTCTCACAGGCATGGGGACTCTGGACACTGGTGGCTGCAACCAGCTCAGGGATGTGCATCAGTTCTGAATAGCTCCTGGAACAGCTAGGTGCAAGCCCTCCCTTTAGCCAGCACCCATTGGAGAGCTCTCCCCCCACCAACCTGCCTCTCAAGCAGCGGAGAGGATAAGATACCCACTGCTATCAGCAAGTGTAAACACCCCTTAGAGTTTTTAGAATTTCACGTTTTGAGTTTTCAGAGATGTATTGTCAATTCATGAAATCATATCAATCAGTCTGGAGCCCTTACTAGACCCAAGTCTAACCGAAGACACTGCCCTAGGTCTTCATTTTAGTGATGTTTGTTATTCGAAAAATGGCGCTTGTCCCAGACCCTTCCAGAGGATGGAGGGTAGGTAGGGGAAGCTGGTCCAAAGTCTAAACATTCGAAGAACTGACATAGCTAAAGTAATTTATAACTCCTTTCATAGGCAAAATTGCTTCTCTGAATCTTTGGAAACGGAATAGAATCATATGTGCTGTCTGTGTGATTTGTTTTGTGTAAACATTAGACACCTCAGGTCACTTTGCAGGCTGTTCTGGGTCCTCTCCCCCGGCTGTGGGTTGTAAGATCCCTCAGCATGTGGTGGGGCAGATGACACAGCCCTGTCATCTTGAAGGGCTGAACAGTTCTCTGTAAACGGGCGACTGAACAAAAGACCCCCTGAATTTTGTGGACCTCGCTGATGTTATGCTGTTTACCTATTTGACTAATGGTGATAGTCAATAGTGGGGGTGGGGGTGGAGGTGGGGGAGGGTGACAGGAAATGTAAACATACTGGTTATGGCTTCCAACCTCACAGGCATTGTTTTTGTAAGGGGTAATGAGAAGGTTTATTTGCCTTTTGAACTTTTTCTTTAATGAGAAGAAATAGAGTTTTTCTGAGAGAAAAGTGAACTAGAAATGCCTTATGTACTATGTCAATGTAGACAAAAATCAAGTCCTAGCTTTACTTTCAAACAACTGGGTAATATTATAGCTGTATTCACACTTGCAAGAATGAAACCAAACACAATGCTTAACACTATTTTTTTTTTTAAATACCAGAATTCCATAAAGTTTAAACTCGTTTACCTGGCCGTCAAGGTCAACCTCAGCCAGACTCTCTACAAACATGCCATTTGCACTAAAGCCAACTCTAGTTGTTTTATGGCCAAACTTCTGCTCCCATTTCTCCTGCCCGGAACCCTCTCCTCTCTCTGAAGTCATACCATTCTTCCTCCATAGAACCTGCTGTTTGCCCTCGCTCTCATGCGGAGCTCTCAGTTCACTCCCATGTCTCCCAGATGGTGCTCCTGTTAGGAATCATGTCCAACACAGAGAAGGTTCCCAATAGTAATGGAATATCATTAGGAGGGGGCTCTGCAGTCAGATATGGGGGTGTGAGTCCTAGCTCAGCTATTCGTTCACCAGCTTTGGTTTTCAGGCAAGTTACTCAATCTTTGAGTGTTAGTTGCCTCATTTGAAAAATGCGGATAATAATTACACTTCCCTGAAAGGTGAGGGTATTACTGATTGATACATGTGAAGTGCTTGGCACAGTGCTGGGCTATCATGAATATGATGATTACTCACGAGAACTTTAAAAAATGAGATTTCCGACTTTACAAAATTAACAGCACTATGGTCTGAGTGGAGGATGCAGATCATAAAACTTGATTGTTTAGGCTTCTCTGTGTCTGTCGACTCTAATTGCTGTCATAAGAAGGGGCAGGGTCCTCTACACCCATCGACCTGGAAGAGAGAATCTCCAGTTGCCACCCACTGAGATTGGACACAAACAGATTGAAATGGAATGATTCTTTCCAAATTAGACAGAATAGAAATATGTGTGGCTTGGCAGCGATTTTATTTTAGTAAGAGGTAATCAAATGATGAATGAGTTTCTATAAAGAAGGGAACAAATGCTAGCTATTAGCATCTAAGAGTAATTAAAATAGCTTCATGATGAATCCTCTATCCTTGAAGTATTTACAAGCACAACCTGAAGGCTTAGGAAAGTGAAAATGTCACTTAACTGGTTGTTTGATCTACAAATACAAAATCATAGGTTTTCTGCAATTTCCCTACAAACTGGTTGATGTTTCACTGAAGCATGGCTTCAGTCAAACCAAGGGCATAACCATTAGCAGTTTTTTGGTAACACTGATGTCTAAACAAATCCCTTTTGTGTTTTGAATGACAGATCTAAAAATGATTGTCTGGGCCACAGCATGCCATTGCAAACAGAGCAGGCAATACTTTAAATAAATAGCGAGGCGGCTTGGGTTTGGGATGAGGCATGCAGTCCCATGCAGCTTCTGATTTCATCCTGTCCCAGGCCACCCTTAAACAATCACTCTTTGTTAGATGATTGGAGCTTTATGAGCAAGTGTTTCAGAACTTCTCAAAATTTCAGTGAGGTGCACATGTGCACATGGATATGTATAAATTTTACAGGCACAGAAAAGGGAAATTCTGCTGAAAAGTCTCCCTTGTCTAGCTGAGGATATAGAAAAACTCGTTGTTACATAATTTTTGGAACACAATTTAATCTTTCGATGTTTCAGAGTGCCTTAGGTTCACTATTGTTAAAGTCAACTATAATGGCAAAACTCAAAAGCGCTTGTTAGTAGAAACTTCCAGTTGGCTGAAGGAATTTATAGGATCTTCCTTCTGCTTTCAAACTTTTGGGAGGAATATGAAAAAATATATATGTTCTAAACTAGGAAGCTTAAACTTTTTTAATATGAAAAATTTCTAACATATTCCAAAGTAAAAAATAGTATGAGACTCCATCTTCACCCATCTTCCAGAATTATTAATACTTGTCTGTTGTGTTTCTTCTGTACCCACACCTCTCTTCCCTGCTACTCCTATCATAATCATTACTAGATTATTTCCAAGTCACCATATAATTTGATCCATACATGATTCGGTATGTATCTCAAAAAGGTAAAGAAGTCTTGAAGAATACGTAACTAAAATATTATTACACCTTAAATAAATCAACATTTCCTTAATGTTATCACATTTCCAGGCAGTGTTCAAATATCTCTGATGCAGTCTCTATTTTTTTTTGTTTTACACTTAGTTTGTTTGAATCAGGATCCAAACAGGGTTTATAAACTCATTGGTTGATATGTCTCTTAAGTCTGTTTTAATCCGAAGGTTCAACCAACCACCCTCCTCTCTCTCTCTCTCTCTCTCTCTCTCTCTCTCTCTCTCTCTCTCTCTCTCTCTCTCTCTCTCGTTTTGTTTTACAATTTACTTGATGATGAAACCAAGTCATGTGTCCTATAGAATTTCCCATATTCTGAATTTTTTCTGTTTATACAACCTCTAAAATG